CCAGCTGTCTTAGTCATGCAAATATACGGTTTTCACGAGTTCACACCCGCGTAAAACGTAGCGTAAAATAATCGGACTTATGAGAAATCTCTAATAAAATAATGTAAATTAGAACAAAAATTGTAATAATGGGTGCAAATAAAAACGTTCTTCTTCTATCTGGAAACTACGGAGCGTTCTAAGAATGTACAGCCGGCTTTTTTTAAACAACTTGTACATGAACTTCGGTACTTGCCATACAACTGGAATCTCTTCAAAGCATAAAATGACCTTTTTTAGCATTATTTTGTTCAGAGATACTTTCATCCCCAGGATTACCTTTGGGGTGAAGTTCGGGGGCTTTGACAATGCACACGAAATCCATAGATTAACTTCAGTTGAAAAGTGTCAACAAATTAATGGTCGTTTAATTAATTTTTAGTTCTGGTTGTGATTTGTATTTGAACCTTTCTTTCGGGAGTGATTACACAGTTGTTCGCGTATTTGGTAAATATTAATTTCCCCTTGTAACTAATTAAGGGTTCCGATTCCCCTTAGATACCGTTGTTATGTTTCCATGAAAAAAGCTTATTATTATTATTATTATTATTATTATTATTATTAGCAAGAATATCTGATAATTTCTGTCTCTTGGTAACAGAAGAAAAATGCCTCGCGATAATTATGGATAACCTTTAAAACAAGTATTAGTTTGTAGAGTTGTTTGCGATTACAAGAATCTTGAACCACAGTAAACATTAAGTATAGTTTAAGAGGAAATGTTTATCAATAATGAGCAATAATGGCAAAAAGCGCCAAAAACTAGACTTTCGTATGAGTTTGATCCCAATTTTCGTTTTGGGTTAACACTCAAAACCTTTTTAAAACAGTTCGAAACTGATGTACTATGATAAAATGCCTGTTTGAAGCGGTATTTTCAATTGTACAAGATGTTTYGTTGCATTTGTGTTAGAATGTTGCTTTGTCAGGCTTTTTTATAGAAAATATATGGGAAATAAGCAAATACAGGCCTGAACCGCATGTTCGAATAAGGGTTTTGCTTTGGTTAACACTTTGATTCCACTCTCATCGGTCATCTCCACTTCCAAACAAGTTAAACTTTCTGAATAACAAGATTTTAGCCTTGTACAACAGCCCTTTCTTCAAGAAAATAGTTTTTGGCGCTCACTGCTTGAATACGAAAAGAATTCTTTCTTAATAAATGAGCAGGAGTGTTTTATCAGATTTGAAATCACGAGGCGTAGCCGAGTGGTCTTGGGTTTGATCTTCTGGACTCAACACTGATCATACATAAATAGAGTTTATCAAGTCTCTCTCGATTCTGGGGTTTTCTTGCTTCGGGTTCTAAGATTATTCTCCCTAAAAAATATTACGACCTTATATCTTGACACATTAAATCATTCAGTCAAGCGACTGTAAAGTTGATTGTGATAGCTATGGCGACTACTGCAACTAAGCAAGTAGCAATCACTTTAGATTCTTTACTTTTGACACTAATTATTCCTATGACGCTTTTGAAAAAGGTTCCTAGTTTTTCAGTTTCAGGCGCTCCTAATCCTTTTTTTTAATCTGAAAATTCGAAAGGTTTTTATAAAACAAGGGAATTCGGTTTTCTCCATCGAGTTTTAAAGACTACAGCAAAATAGCTAGTCATGCTTCATCACCAAAAAAACACAGAGTGTTTGCTTTTCATCTTCATATATTTTGGGTACTTTTATCTTACATTGACTCAGGATAATTTACAAACATCGTTCACAAAAGTTCCATTCAAATCGCTGGAGGGAAACTCGACCCAACATATTTTGGTTTCCAGTATTTTAAGATGTTGTTGGAAGTGCCAGCGTTTGCCAGAGTGCTTCTCTTTGAACTTCTCTCACCAGCCCAAGCAAAATGGCTTGTATGAATGCGTTTTGCTTAGCAGCAATGAAAACCAGTCTGGTAGACTCTTGAAACCTTCTGATGCTTATCATCACTATATTCGATTGCAAGCATCGAAGGTAAGCTAATTGATTTCTCAGATCATCGAAGTTTGACTGGAAAAATGTTGAAAATATATAAAATGGGAGTCCATATTTTTAACCTATATATGAACAAAGTATGAAAATGATTTCCATGGTATGGGAATTTCATGGAAATATGTCGTCAGAAATATCATGGAAATATGTTGGAAATTCGGTGCAACATTTTTGGAAGTTTCAAGGAAATATATAAAAAAATATCATGGAAATTCAATAGAAATGACATTTCAATGATTCAGAGTAAGATTTTTGCACCTTTTTGGCCGCAATAGTGCCCATCATTGTCAGTTATCGCTTACATAGGCCATTTTTATTTCTGTAACGTAAATATTTTATTTACTCAATCATCCCTAACTTCAGTTACGTACAAAATACAATTATTGTTTCTTGTTCTTGTTCTGTCATTACATTTTCAACTACTTTTTCATCAAGAGGGAACCTTTTTGCTTTAATTCGTTTCAGCTGTTACCCGCCATCCCCGACCGTGAGGAAGCTGAGAAAAGTTGGTTAAAGATTAACTCATGTCCTGTGTGTTTCGGAGCAAAGAATTCTTCATATGGACGATTTGACCTCAAACAAAATGGAACAATCACCACCGTCAAGCTGGTGCATCTCTTTGGATATGTCACGTGCAATTATAAACACCAATCAGCGAGTAGCAATTGGGGATGTGGGGCTTACGTCAGCGGTGCGAACAAAACATTTCCTGACAAACTTTTGACRATAATCACCAATGACAAAAACCAGAAGATTTTACCGCAAGATGAATATATTGAAAAACCTAATATCCTAGCATACGTTCTTCCTGGGGAATTTACTTCTCAGTCTCCTGAACTGATTTTTCCAAATTTCACTACTCCAATGAAGGTGGCCGCTGGTCAAGAGTATCGCATCTGGTACGGACAGGATCTTCTAGACGTTTTCGAAGACAAGAATAATGGGACTGCATGTGCTGATGTGTATATGTATGGATGGTTTGGTTAGAGTTCTACTATAGCCGAAGAGGCCCATGACAGCTGATATATGTATATGGATGTGTTGATACGGCGTATATGTATGGGTGGTTTGGTTAGAGTTCTACTATAGCTGAAGAGACCCATGACAGCTGACATATGTATATGGATGTGTTGATACAGTGTATATGTATGGGTGGTTTGGTTAGAGTTCTACAGTATA